TCATTCCTATGTTAAGCCAACAGACACTAATAACACAATAATAGCTATCTGAAAGGTTATTCATGAGATCATCTCATATATTCAATTTTACTTTTACTCTTACTCGTATTCTTATTCTTACCATTTTTTTTAGTTATTGTCTAAATTATGTTAATTTGAATTATAGAGACGACTGTTTATTTATTTTAATAAATTATTATATGTGAGACTTAATTAATTGAATCTAACTTAAACGAATTAAGCCGGATTAGTTTTATATTATATAAATATATATATTTTTGTAGTTAAAATAACTTATATGATAATATAATATACTACTTGAACTATTTTTTAAAACTTAATTTTCAATAACTCACAACTTTATGAATTTACACTTTCATTAACTTGTAAAGTATTTTTCTTTTTAAAGACAAAACAAAAGGAATCATGTAAGCTTTAAGTCTCACTTTTGACTTTGTAGTTTGTATCATATAAGCTTTAATTGAGTTCTCCGACGTCGTTTTGTCAACCCCCTAATTCATATTACTATTTTTCTTTTTTTACTAATAACAGAGAGGACAAGTAGGAAAATTTAGCGTGGAAATAGCAAAATTTAGAGTGGAAATAGTAATATTTCGAGTGGAAATAGTAAAATTTAGAGTGGCAACTAATAACAGAGAGGGCAGCTGGTAAAGTTTAGAGTGGAAATAGCTGAATTAGCTTAAAAGAAGAAGACTGATAAAAAGTTCAGACAGGAAGAAGAGAGACAATTTATGGTTTCGGAGCTTGAGCCACGTACTCGTATATAACGTATCTCTCATTTCAACTTCTCTGATTCATGAACTTCCATTAATGCCCTCCAAATTTTCTTCGCCATTTTTGCCACGGAGCTCGAGGTTTAATTACTTACAATAACGCTCCCAAATCTTTGTTCTCTTCCTCTGTCTTTCTTCAGCACGACTCCTCTGCTTTTCTCTCTGGCTTTCTCGGATGCAACTACGAGTAAACAATCCAATCCCTCTTTTTATTCTTGACGTACACCGAACTCGCATGCTTTCTTGAGATCCCATTCTTTCTCGTTGTCTTTTTAAATCCCTTCTAAGACCACCCTTTCACATGATTGCTTTTTCCCTCCATCGTCCTCTACCCGACTCTGGCATTACCGCATTGGGGAGATACTGATCTCTCTCTCTCGTTTAATAATGGAGATTTCTTACTGGGCTTTGGTTTTTTCTCTTCTTCTATGCTTTCTCGCATCTGGGTCTCTCTCTATTGAGAATTTTCACCAAGCGTAAGTGATTATAACTAAAACTTTTAATATTTTAGGTCTATAAGATTTGGTTTTCTACCTTCAGTTTCTCCGTCTAACGGTACATGCTTGATTTTTAAGCTATGGTGTTCTGTGTCATGATCAATTGTTTCTTCATGTTTTATGGATCTATGGGGCACGGCGTATGTTATTTTTATCTTATTTTTCTTGCATAACTTGTTCATTAGCAATTATGGTTTTCTATTTTTTAGTTTCAAGGATGAAGTTAGTTTGGGTTTAGATCTCATTCTCTAGCTAGTATCACTCATTTTTAATTGCAATTCAATCTACTCAGTTTTGTCTTAGTGATGATTATTGATGATTCAGGTGAAATGCAATTATGCAGCTAGCATAAATATGGTCAAGACTAACACAAATTTGTAAGCTATTTTGAGAAAACGAGATTGATCTCTCTGCTTTCACCGTTAGCTTAACAATGTATAGAACTAGTTTCCTAGTATAAATCGATCTGCTTACTATTTACTGTTGAAGAGCCAAATTGCAGAGATTAGAAAAAAAACCAGTTTTTTTTTTTAATTTATATAGTTTTTTTTTAATATGAAGAAAGAAGAAAATTATATACTTGACTGATATAATGGCTGCTAAACCATAGTGTTTACCAGCATGAAGGAGATTGCTTTTGTTGAAGAAATTATTAAATTTGATGATTCACCGGAGTCAGTTTAATGCATACAAGTATTAGAGCGAGGGTCTAGAAAATGCTTTGGGTATTGAGCTCTTTACTTTATGTAGTTTGTTAAAAGGAACATGGAAGAATAAATTCAACAGCAATTTCTGCTAGTTGACTGCTATATTCTGACTTCTGCTAATATTTTATAGACTCCTCAATTTCTCCATATAAGACAATTCTATTGTTTATTTTTTCTTGGAGTAATAAGAGTATTCTATTTGACATACACTCTTCTCTGTTGAGGCTTGTGTTCATTCAAAATGTTCAGGAATCTTGATCTTGTTAGGTTTAGGTTTGATATAGGGTAAATTTTCGGTATAGTTATTCAAGGCTGTTCTAATTGTTTCTGGTGCAATTAGTGGAGTGAGAAGAAATTTCACTGTGGGAAAAAGAAGTGAAAAAATTTAGTGACTGTAGTGATAGTGGATAAGATCAAGTGGATACCATATATTCTTGGCCAGTTGAAGTGCTAGTACAGATTGCTTGCTTTGTAGTTCTGATGGGGGGATGTAATAATCTCAGTTAGGTTTGTGTGCGAGCTTGATACTAATATATCATGCCTTCTGTCTCTGTATGGTAACAACTAGAGCTCAACGTAGAAACACTAGAAGATCCAATTAAGTGAACATTTTCTGTGCATGTGGGTAGATAATTATTGCTTGATGCACAATATCAGCACTGCTACATGTATTTGATAACAAAGTTGCATTGAGCAAGATTCAGGTGAATGTCTTACTGTTGCAAGATTATGCAATTGTTTCTCCTTGATCTCCTTCCATAATATTTAGGAAAGGGGATGTTTACATACTTAACCTAATAATATTGTAATAGTGTAAGAACTATAAACTTAAGAAGTTTCCTTACTAGTTTCATATACTAACGAATATGTTTTATTTATTTTAGTTCACTTCCTTTTTCTGTTTCATTTTTGTGCTACAGCTTTCCTATTGTGGAACCTGATCCTGGTCATACAAAACTTCGGCTTTCGAGGGAAGGACTGGAAGTCATCAGTAGAATAAGAACCCCAATTGCAGCTGTTGCAGTAAGCCTAATAGGCATTTTCTTTACAATCTTCCTGTTAGAATACTACTTTCCATCTGAATTTCATATCAAATGTTCCTAACCTGGAATGCTCATATTTTCTCTGTTGGATTACTAAATGGAATATAAGAGCCTGAAACCCTTGACTAGATAATTCTGGGAATTTTTTTTTTTTTAAAGATAAAAATAGTGTGAATATTATGTATATGGCACCAATGGGGTGCAATCCATGTACAAAACTATTTACAGATCAGTTAATACATCAATAACTTGTCCAAAATCATCCCACCCATAGAGATCGTGACCCAGAGTCCCAAAAGTATGTATCAACCTATCTCTAATTCTGGACAAATCCCCCACACACCCGTGAAACGCTCTATATAATTCTGGGAATTGTTTTGTGATGAGGTAATTGATAATGCTAAATAAATTAGTAAAAGATGGGTGCATTTGTCCATGCGATATGTTCCTCTGAACTATTTTTTCGTTGGCTGTGGATGCTTAACCTTTGTACTAATAGAATTTGCCCTGTGAATACTGAACCCGAATCTTGAAAGAAGTGAAAGGTTTACATGCTTCATTATCAGCTTCGTAGTTGTAATCGTAAAGAAACACCATGGGGCTGTAACAATGGTGAAATTAAGATCAAATTCTCACTTTTTAAAGACTTTCTTCTAAAGCAAGTAGTACATGCCGTATACATTTCACTTTTATTCTTCAAAGAATCAAACTTTGGCTTTTCTTCATGGCCTGTGAGTTTTTTTTTTTTTTTCCTTTTTTGAGTCTGTCCAGAATTTGAATTTTGTGGAACTATGTTTAATTGCATCCCAGACTGCAGGAGATTGTTATATTTCTCAGCACTCTGTAATTTAGAACTCTAATTAAGTCCTCTTATTCATTTGGTGCATTTACTTTCAAATCTTTTTGTATTGAATACTTATGCACCATCTGAAGGAATTAGAGACCTTTGGAGGGATTTGAATCTCCTTTCTACTAGATATGAATAGTTGGTTACATATCTTAACTTATTGGTTAATAATCACCCTATTTTCAACTGTTGTGATCTACACTATCTTAGCTTATCGTTTAATGGTCATACTACTTCCAAGATTCATGATCCAGGTTTCTCCATTTTTATTTTACTTTGGTTGTTGGATAATCAGGTAATTGGCCCATACCGCTCTGGGAAATCTTTTCTACTTAATCAGCTTCTTTCACTTTCTTGTTATGAAGGTATGAAGGTGATTTTGTCATTGCTTTACATGTTTTATTTATTTATTACTTTGAAAAGGAACTTGTTTTCTTGTAATTGAACTTATAAATTGACAATTTTTTAAATTACACATTTCCAATTTCTTGCTAGGGTTTGGTGTTGGACACATGCGTGACACAAAGACAAAAGGTAATAGGCTCCGTCTGACCATATATCAGAAGTATCTGCAACTGTTCACACTTGGCTTAATGCAGGAATTTGGGTTTGGGGAACACCATTAGTATTGGATATTGACGGTGTGAAAACTTCTGTGTTTTACCTTGACACTGAGGGATTTGAAAGTATTGGGAAGTCAAATGTATATGATGATCGGTAAATGCTAAATTGTTATGTAATGTTTTTAGTTACATTTTGTGTTTTATGCTTTTACATTTTTTATCTATTTGGTGTTGGCGTTTCCAGGATTTTTGCGCTGGCAACTGTCATGAGTTCTGTACTTATATACAATCTGCCTGAGACAGTAAGTTATTTATATTTATCTTCATATTCTTTGAAAGTCTCTTGCTCTCCAACTAAGTTGTTTGGCATGGGCTTTTCCATCACTCAAGAAGTAGAAGCTTGAGGCTGCGATTTTCACGTGATAATTAAGCTCTTTTCCAAATTCTCTTGCTTCTTTTTCTTAGAGGAAAAAATAAATAGGGTTAGTAGGCACCAAGAGGCTGCAACCATATAAAATTACAAAGAGAAAATCAATAGCGTCTACATCAACCATCACGGCTTGTTCCATACACAAAATATTGTGAGTTCTAAAACAATGATCTTGCTAGATGCAAAAGAGGTAGATGGTTGCTTAAAAGCTCTTCGATTCCTTTCTTTTCAAATGATCCAAAAGATAGAAAGAGGAATAAAAGATGGATTTTTTTTCGATGCTTGGTAGAAGGAATAATTCTCTTAGTCTCCAACTAATTTATTTTAGAGTAACCAATAGGTTTTAACCCAATAATTATCTCTGCTTTCCTCTATGTTGGCGAGTAGATTTCAACTCTTATCTTGTGCAAGTTCTCTATATATTTTGTTGTAGTAAAAAAACTAAAGTTATTTTGGGGTTGGGCTTTCTCATCACTCAAAAAGCAGAAATCAAAAACTTCTTGAGGCTGCAATTTCCATGTGAAAATGAGCTTGTTAGACAATTGTTTAGTTGATATTGTATTAGAACTCCCCTAGAGCTGGCTGTAAGGGCGAGTATTGGGAAGAGGCTAGAAGGAAAAAGATGGTAATTGTCTAAATAATAGCAATCTGTCACAACAATGCAATTTTTTTTTCCCTCAGGTTTAGGGCATGAGTGCAAAAAGAATGTGCAAATGCTTAAATAAGATATCTAGGCAAATGGAGGGAGAGGAATAGAAGAGTTTTGGAGGGGATTGGTGATGAGGGGAATCTTGATAAAAGTAGGAAGAGATGGTTCTAGACTTCCGGTTTTTTGATTTTGGGTCATTCTCTTTCTTCTATGGAGAATTTTGGAAACCTTGCAGGCATTTTATTAGAGCTGTAAATAATTCGTATACGGTTTGGCACCCCTTTGGTGCTTTTTAATACAGTTATACTTTTATTTAAAAAAAAAACAGCATTTGCCTTCATTGAAGTGATAGTCACAAATCTGTATATTTGTTCAGATACGTGAAGCAGACATATCTCGGCTGTCATTCGCTGTTGAACTTGCTGAGGAATTCTATGGAAGGTTTGACATATTGTTTAAACATAAAATGTGATTTATGCTAGTCATTAGGGATATAAGTACTTACTTGTCTTTTATGTAACCGTGCTAATTAATGATGATTTTTGTTTCTCTTGACAATATGGCATGCGGAACAGAGTGAAGGTTAGTAACTAACTGCTAGAATGTTATTCCTCATCTTAGTGCGATTATGGTGGATTTTTTTGGTATTGAGATGCATGCTTGCTGGCTTTTCTACAGGGGCAAGATGTTGCATTTGAACCTTCAAAACTTTTGTGGCTTATCCAGCGTGATTTTCTTCGTAAGTTCATTGATGCCTTCCTAGAGTATGATTTTTTGCCTTTTGCCTTGTTGTAAGGTAGTAGAGCATTATGTCCAAATGTGTCAAATACCGATTTGAAATTAGTTTGAGATTGATTTACATGCTTGATTAGGCTTTTTGTTGGATCTACTGCTAAGTCTTCAAGGGATAAATTAATTGATTAATATAGTCTTATTATATTTGAGATATCTTTTGTCTGTTGGCTCTTTTACTGTTGCATCTATATTCTCTCTATGCAAGTGAGAGAGTTGATGGCTTAAATGTCTTGGTTTATGCAGAAGGGAAATCTGTGCAAGAAATGGTGAATGAAGCTCTTAGACATGTCCCTAACACTGACAGTGAGCTTCTTTACCTACTTTACCTAGTGTACAAGAGAATGTTATTTATGTGGAAACCTTGCTGCTCTTTTGGAATTAAAGTCTTATAGGGGGCTGATTGTTTGTATTGCAGGGGATAAAAATATTGATCAGGTATGTTTCCTTCATTTTCATTCTCTTAGTTCCCAGCTCTGTCTATTTGACACATAAATCAGCCTGCTGTTCACTTCTGAGTTCCTTGTTTTTGCCTTGATCCTTTCTCTTTATGTGCTTCTATTCTTTATTTGTTAAGGGTAACTAGTTTTTGATTTACCTTTTCTTTTCTTTCTATTAATAAATTTTTTTGTCTGTCAAAAACATTCTTAGTCACCAGTTGCACATATTCTCTTGTCTTTTAAAATTCTTTTCTCTAACCTTTCAGGTTAACCAGATTCGGGACTCCTTGGCTATAATGGGTGACAACAGTACAGCCTTTAGTTTGCCGCAAGTATGGATTTAATTTGTCTTTGCTAGATTACTAACTCCTCTCCATTTCTGGTGTTAGCTATAAGCATTCAGATTTCATGGAAGATTAATATATGATGGAAGTGCCTTGGCTGGATATAACATGAAATTGATAAGGGGTCTACTTTGAATGCTTAATTTGTGTTCCGTTGTGTGTCCTGCGAGACATTAGATTAATCTCTGGTGAGGCAAGAAGGGATTCATTGTTGCATGATGTTTAGTCGGTTGTAACTGTAATTTGTCTACATCATAAATGGCCATTATCAAACAAATCCTGTGCATGGGTGTGAACATAATGACCATATTTTGGGAGCATGGCTGTGGGAACTGGATTTTTTGGAGTCTGCAGTTCTGTACCATTTATTCTAGCAGTTAAAAAGTCTAGATCATGGGGATAATAGTGACCTCCCTTGTAAAAGATTCCTTAGTACTGGTACATCTACAAATTTCGAACAGTTAACGTTGTTAGTGGGCTATTAATCTCTAACCTTTAGCAAGTGAATAATTTTTTAGTGGGTTCTGTAGCTTTAAAATTTAGGACTACGTGCATGATCCTTGTAACTAAATTTGAGAATTCCTAATTTGGTGGCTGCTCCTTATTACGTACTTCCTAATGTCTAATACTAATTTTCTGTTCTGCCATGTAAACTGATTTAAATTGAAATCTTTACCTAATGTAATCGGATCTCCCTATCATTTGAATTTGCAGCCTCATCTCATGAGAACAAAGCTTTGTGATATGAAGGATGATGAACTTGATTCTGTATATGTTAAGAAAAGAGAACAATTGAAAAAGCTTGTTGCCAGTGTTATTCGCCCAAAGATTGTGCAAGGAAAAACTCTTAATGGAAAGGAGTTTGTATCTTTCCTGGAGCAGGTAACTTACAGTTATTTTTCAAATCATTCTGAGCTTGATAGCTACCAAATTGGTAAACTGGTACTATCATCTGTCCCTTTTTATTAATGGACGTGAAAATAACTGGTGGTGACTTGAGTTCTCCTCTAAATATGTATTTTTAGCTTCTTCACAATTGCTTGAATATCATCAATCTTCATTTGAATGTTCTAATATCCTGTCTATTCTTCCTCTTTGACTTGAGGTTTCAATACATTTTGATCTTATGACGGGCAAAGTTGCTACATAGGTTGCTGTTGTTGATTCTCTCGAAACCCTTTGATCCTATCAAATGTTACTCATGGTTATCAATCACATTGAGTAGATGTGTTTGGTACTTCCAACCCTCTTGAAGAGGGTTTGGGTTTAAGCTGTCGCTGGAGCTATAACAATATTATGGCCTTTGAAGCATAAAAAAAGATATTGTTAAAAGTTCCCCAACCATGACAATTTATTCAATTAGACTGCTTTGGTTGAATGAGTAGCATCAAGGTTATATGATTATCTTCAACCCTACTGACTGTAATAAATAATGACCCAAGTGAGTGACTTGCACCAGCATTTTAGTTATAGCTAGTGCTTCTGGTCTTGGCTGAGTCAGTCCATGTGAGCTATATATTCATTGGTGGTATTTGATGTGTATCTTCTTCAGAATTGTATTTGTTATTATGGGTAATATAATTTTAGAGGTGCATATGTTGTAGCAAGCAGCAAATGTATTGAGAACTTATCATCTTTTCGTTACGGTTGCTCTTATTCACGATCCTACTAGAGATGGGAAGAATTATTAAGTCAAGCAGGTGTTTGGGGTTGTTTAAAGTACTAGATACTTACAGGAAATATGAAGTATATATTTTGCTGTTTTAGAAGAAACTTATTTACGTGGTTGGGCAAAAATAGTAAACGTGGGGAAAAAAAGCATTTGTTTTGTTTTGTTAAAGAAATAAACTTGTCCAAATATAGTAATTGGATGTTAAAAAGACAATAAAGAAAGTATTTGTAACAAAAAGTCAAATTGAAGGTGTTTTTATTTTTGTTTCTGTTTTTCTGCTTTGAAAGTTCTTATTTGCATGTGATGAGCACCTTTTTTGACAAAGGAGCGGAGACTTGAACTTAAATTTAGCTTATTATACATATTCTTCACCAAATATGAATAATTGTGTTCAGATGCTTATAAGCAACCAAATGCCCTGAAAAATTAACTGCTCTATTCCTTAAACAAGAGAAGAAAATAAGATGTACAGTTTTATCGAAGGAGATTACTATAATTTATTCTTCATCATATTCATGAGGGGAGATCAGATTGGCAGGATATTGTGCATGTTTTTAATAAGAGTATTACTATGATCTTACTTCAAGAAAAAAAGGAGTATTACCATGAACTGTTCTATTGATGAAAATTACTATAATATATTATCTTCGTTATATGCATAATTGTTTTTAACTTCCAGATACTTGAAGCCTTAAATAAGGGGGAGATCCCATCAACAGGTTCTCTTGTGGAGGTTTTTAATAAGGATATTCTCGAGCGATGTTTGAAACTATATAGTGAGAAAATGGCAAAATTAGTTTTACCTATGCCAGAGAAATCCCTTCAAGATGTCCACAGGAGTTCCCGGGAGGAAGCAATAAAAGCATTTGATGAACAACATTTCGGTCGTCATCATGCTAAGAGGTCTGCCATGCAGCTTGATGAAGAAATCCAGGAGGTATTCTCAGCAACATTAGCTTTTTGATTTGTAAGGAAAAAGATTACATTATCGATTGTTTTTAATCGTAAGTTGACTGTAAAGAATTTTTAAATTGTTTTGATGAAAGAAAAGGAGAATCAATCTTTGTCGTAGAGATATTAGTTCTCCTTTATTGATATTGGACCACATGATCTCATGTGCCTGTAAGCAGTTGGAAAATTCCTTCAAAAGTTTGTAGAAATTTTTGGACAACTTTTACTCAATTTTAGCTTCATGCTCATTCAATGGGGGGACAGCCTTCTTTATTTCACAACAAAAGGAGGAGACTGCCTTCCGTTTCATGCTGGAGTATCATATTTGGGATCTTTCTCAGTTACAAAATCTTTTCATGGATAGACCAGATGAAATGTAATTTTGAATCTTACCTCATGAAAACAAAGGAAATTTTTTCTCCCTCAAATGAATTTTAGTGGGCGGATGAGGGTCTCTGAGTAATTTTTCTTAGGAACACTTTTTTTCAATGAGCTACAAAATTTGGAGTACTTTAAGATCTCTTGCACTTATCCTTGGAAATTCTTTCTAGGTGTTCAAGAATGTCATAATGGCAAATGAATATCAGTCCTCAAAACTTTGCGAGGCTCTGTATACCACATGTGAGGACAAAATGGACCAACTACAGGTTCTCAGGCTTCCTTCTATGGCAAAATTCAATGCAGGTTTCATGCAGTGTAACCAGAGTTTTGAGCGGGAATGTGTTGGTCCTTCAAAACAAAACTACGAGCAACGCCTGACAAAGGTTATTGCTAAATTTTTTTTTCTCATTTATTTTCTTTATCTCTCTTTCTTTGCAAATTTTGTTTAGCAGTAAACCATAGGTTACCAAGTGAATGTTAGTCCCTAATGCTGCAAAACAAATTGAAAACTCATATTTTTTTAGTAAGGTGGAATTAGTGCCAAAATTTAATGCAGTAATGTCAAAAATGTAATGCATAATTAATAACTGAATATGGTAATGAAACACTTTCAACAAGTTGTGGAGTAGCTATCTTAGAAAATACGAGAGTAAAT